TTAGCTGCTCCTCTATGAGGCTGGGCTTCTGCGGGAGGGAGGGTGCTTTGGAAGCCAATCAACGCAGCCGCTAGAAAAAGCAGCCAATGACGAGTTCAGACAAGACTAGAGGCTTGCAAGCCGACCAACCACAGCTGCCCGAGTTGTTGGGGGCGGGAAGAACGAGGACCCATCTATGAGCGGGGGCGGGGCGAGTCCCAGCAACCAATCAAGTATCCGTTTACACCGGTGCTGATCCCGCCCTCTCCTCCGCAGGTCCCTAAGCCTGGCCTATCGGAGGCGCGTCCCCTGTTCCTGTTCGCCGCTGCTCTGGCTGGTACCGCCACCCTGGGCTGCACTGGGTTGGTGGCCTGCGCAGGCCATTCCGCCCGGGTCTGGCGCCGCCCAGGAGCCGTCTTCGTCCCCTGAACTTTAGAGCCCCGGCCCGTCCTCCACTCGGGCCCCGCGGGAGGGTTGGGTGACGCGCGCTCGGCCCAGAAGCCACTCACATCGCCTCCCGGCTCACCGCTCCAAGTGTGCGCCTCCACCCCAGCTGCAGCCTTGTGATCCGGCCCGCCCCCTGGCGGCCGGGGAGGGAGGAGCCGGGCCCGAGGCCGGAGCGCGGGGCTCACAGGCGCCTGTAACCCGAAGTGGTGCTGTGGGTGGAAGGCGGACCACTTCCTCCAGCCTGCGTGAGGCCACGACGTGGATCGGCAAACTGCGATCGAGAAAAGGCAGCAGGGCCAGAGCTCAGCCATCTGTTTTTCACCCTCCACGCACCCCACCCACATCGGCTCGAAAACCACCAACCCTTGTGCATGAAGCCCTGCTCGCTCGTTCTCTGCGAGAGAATGTCTAGCGCGAGCCCCGCTGCTCTCGGGAACCGTTCGCTTGTATTAGCCCCGCTTTTTCGGGGCCTCCCGCGCCCTCCTCACGTGCGCTGCTCTCGGAGCCTCTGCCGGCTCCTCCCGCCTCGGCGGTTTGGGTATTTATTGACCTGTCCCCCGACCAGCTGAAGGCTCCAGGACCCTAGCACCCTAATCCACGTTTTGGATGCACTGAAACCCCGACCTTCCTCGGTATTTATTGTCTCTCCCCACCTAGGAACCCCACCCCCGACCCTTGTGAATAAAAGGCTCCCTTGTCTGCCCCAAGCTCTGAACTCCGCGGTGTCTGCTGTTTGCGTTGCTGGAAAGAGGTTGCTCGGTGGGCCAATCAGAAGGCGAGCGGAAGTGGCCAATGGCCTGTCGGGGACTAGCCGAGGCGGACGAATCAGGGACGTGGGTGGACATTCGGGGGCGTGGCCTCAGAAATTAACCAATAGGAAGAGGCAAACGGGCAACCCACCCCCAAGACACCGCCCGTTGTCCAGCTGTGGCCCAGCTGTGCCACCGGCTCGCGGGGAAGAAGTGGGCAGCCCCCGCCGCGCGCGCGCGCGTCCATCCTCCTCCTACTGCGCGTGCGCGGGCCACGCGCATCCGTTCCAGGGACTTAACGCTCCAGAAAAGTTACAGCAAACTTTCTAGCCTGTTTCGCCCGCCCCTTCTCCGTGCCAGACCCGCCCCCCTGTGGAGCCGGGAATTCCGAGGGGCGGAGCGCAGGCCGAGATGGGGAGTGTGGGGGCATTCAGAGGACCCTGGAGACGAAGGCGTGCAGAAGCTCAGTCTTGGGGCGGAGGTGGCTTCGCGCCCTTAGCCCTCCCGGACGGCCCGTTACCTTCTCCGTTGTCCCGATGGGAAACTGAGGCCCTGAGCAAGAGGCACACGCGGGGGGAGGCAAAAAGAGCGGCCTGAGGCGGAGGGAAAACAAAGGGAGAATCACGGACAGACGAGGAGGGGAACGGGCACACACAGACATTGGGAGACCCTATCGGGGCGCTGGGCCAGGCATTGGGGGATTCGCAGGGTCGACAGGGGGAGAAGATCGG